GTTAACAAACGTTGGTTTTCACGAGACTCACCGGCGCATGCGCAGGGCTGACCTCATACGTCATGTTCCCGGAACTGCTTCTGTATACAACTGTTGGCGCAAGCTACATTAAAGTGATTATTACGTTTTGAATATGGATATTTTTCTTACAAAAACGCATCGATTCGGTACAGGAGGCCTTTGTTCTCCCCCCGGAGCCGTGTGAGACACTTTTTTTTTATGGATGGGCGCTTTTTATTTAACTTCTTTTGGACTGATGCATGCAACACCCGCTGAGTGGCATTAAACAGCTTGAAAGATCAAAGACAATTTTTTATATAAGTCCGACTGGATTCGTCTGAAAGAAGAAAGTCATATACACCTAGGATGACTTGAGGGTGAGATATTTATGGGCTAATTTCATTTTTGGGTGAACTAACCCTTTAATTTAAAAGTAGACATGTCAAGCTTTCTCAATATATTTCTCCTGTCTGTGTGTAAAGTATTCACTGAGCTTCAGTTCATTTTAGTGACGCGTTTCTAAAAGCAATTAGCGGAGACAGTGAGGACTGAGAGCGCACCCTGTTTATTTTCTTTATTTTACAAAAGCACATTGTTTTGTTGTTATTATGACTATACACAAATAAAAGTATTTGCAGTTTCAAACGATATTGACGGTGTATTTTTAGTTCTTTCACCGGTGCGGTCTTCGACCCCAGGGGGTTAAACATGTCATGGGACACTATAGCGCCACCTATCTGTGCAAAGTGCCTGTTGTTTGTGCAACTCATTTTCACTAGTTGGCAGGTCATCGTTTACCCGTGTCTGGATGACACTTGGTTCATTCCTCAAGAGCATTGCTCTTATCTGATGCATGTTTCGTCATGTATAAAGCATCCGGTCAAACCTCCAGCGATGGAACGTGACAAACGTTCAGCGTTAATGTCATCCTCACTTCTCTGATGCATGTTGAGGAATGTATGCAGAAGCACCGTCAGGATCATGTGATCAAACTTCTACATGCTCTTCTCACGCATCACGTCAGGTTCATGTTCTCATCATCTGTGTTGCATCATGAACAGCAGACCCTCCTTCACATTCTCATATGATCCTCATGAAGAATCATCTACTTGTCGTCCATCATGATGTGAATAACGTGAAGTCTGATCGGGGGATTTTTTCCTTTATTGCTGCAATCTATCGGGACGTTCTTTGGTCAAACAGACCGACAGCGATCAAACCAACTTCACTTGTGATGACGACACATCGGCGACTGAGGTGTGTAGTTTAGTGCACTTTTATTCTTAATAGCTTGTGTTTTTAATGAGTGTATAACATGTCTCACGTCCTCTCTTTCACCCAAACTCGTTATAGTCTGACTTTGAGGACAACTTTGACATGAGGCCACAGGTATCGAGACTCTATGGTGTTTTGAGAACACCGAAACCAGTTTAAGGTGGTTTGATGGTCTTGTATGAGTGAGCTGGTTAGGATGAGAAACCAGCTAAACCAGCAAAGACCAGCAAACCTCCTTAGGCCGGTTTGAAGCCAAGAACCATCCATCATCACCATGTTTTTGCTTTTGTTTTATTAGTCAAACGTGTCGTAAGCAGTAGCAGAAACCGCTCTGATGTGAATTTGGTTGCTGAAAGGGTTTTAATTAGGGCTGTCATGTGATTAATTAATTACTTGATGTGCTGATTAATTATCGCAAATTAATCATACGTGAATTTTGGCTGAGAAGTCATTCTGTTAAATGAGAAAAGCATTGAATAGACATTGAGTCATTGAATCATTCACTCAATCGATTCATTCGAATGGCTGATTCATTCAGAAACTAAACAAGTGACTGTTTTTATGAATGAGTCACTGATTCATTGACTCACTCGATTTGTTCAAAACCATGGATAAATTGACAGTTTTAATTTTTTCTCTTTCTCTAGTATAGTTTCATAAAACGAATTAAAGGAGAGAATGTGTTTGTCAAGCACAATAATCTCATGTTGGAGGTTTGTGAAGCATGAGGTGGCATGTGTTTGGGTTTAATTACTCATATGATCAGCGTATGTGCCGTTTAATAACTCTGTTATTGTAAAGTACAACTGCAGTGACTCTAACACCACTTGATTCAATTTTTAATCAATCCAAGTTTCACAGAAATTCAAGTTTTAAGCAGCTTCACAGAAAATGCTTGTTTCAGTGTTACAATTAACTTTCTGTTCTTATTTTGAGTGTTTCAAGCCCTTGCATGAATTAAACAATTAACGGAGCAATGAAAAGTCAATGACATTAGTTTGGAATCTTTTTATGCCCCGCCCCATTCGATCCCTCCCTGTGCTGTGATTGGTGGGTCAGGAGACCGACACGCCCACAGCTCTAGTGCAGCATCAGCTGAGCGTCAGTGAGCTGAAGAGGTTGTTTCTGCAGATGCGTTGTGAAGCGTCGGGTGTGAACGAGTGGGACAGGAGACTGTCCTCGTCTCCTCGACCAGACGACCCGTCTCTGATCAAACCTGTACACTCACAGGTGTGCTTTAGACCGGCCTGGACGTGAGATTTGAGTGACACTTCTGATCATTTAACAACAGAAATAGACAAAGCTGCACTTTAACCCTCTGGGCCCGTATTCACAAAACATCTTAAGGCTAAAAGTAGCTCGTAACTCGCCGATTTAGGAGAAAATCTTAAAAATAATGGGCGTGTCAGTCCTAAATTTAGGACTCCTAAATTTTAGATTTTTCACACAGCATTTTAGCGCTAAAACTAGCTCCTAAATCTGTGAAAGGTTAGGAGTAGTGAAAAGAACTCCTAAGTCACTAAGACCAAGCCACAAACTATTCCTAAAACAGCTGTTGCCGGCAATCTGCCTCGGAACGTAAACATTTTAGAAATATTTGACGATAATGAGCTTTTATAAAGGTATCACCTTTGGTTTTGGAGGTTATCCCAACTCTAAATTTTCCTTTGATTATGTCCTTGTTTTCATTAACCAGCTCGGCAAGAAGTAACAGCTGTTCTTGCGCCCTGTTTGGTTTTCTTTAACGTTTACATGTCTTACTATCAGCCATGATTATTCTACTCTGTTTATTAAAAGGCTGTTTATATGCATATTCACTAATTATGAGAAACACACATGTAAGAGGCTGACAATTAGCTGAACACATACTTGTTTAATTAGTGACACTTAGCCTGCATTTTAAAATCTTTATTTGAACCCCGCCCCCTTACTCTGAGCTTAAGACTTCTCTCTATTCCTTAGTAAAAGTTTGTCTCAGCAGCTTTGTGAATAGGTTTTAAGAGAAAACTCTTTGCTAAAAACTTTTACTGCTATTTAGGAGAACTCTTAGTGGTAAGATAAAATGTTTTGTGAATACGGGCTCTGGTGTTTAGTCATTTTTGACGGAAATTTATTTATTTTTATTTTCTTTTACCTCTTCAGAATGGTTCGAAACTTGGTAAAGGTTTTGGCATTTGCTATGTGAACATAAAAAAAACACATGGACACGATTTGAAAAGGTTAAATGGTTCTGAAAAAAATAGTCATGCTTGTACTTTTCATGGTCAAAAATTACCTCAATTGAAAATGAATAGAAGCAAATTTCATTGAGTGGAAATGTTTGGTACTGCGCTTTTTTGCGATATCAACTTAAAATTTGGAACACAACTTGCTTCGATTTTCTTGCAGTTAAAGTGCGAAACATGTTTTGGAAAATATATATTTCATATCAAATTTTAAAATAGTATTTTTGTGATCATTTCTCATGATAATAACTCAAACTTTTATAACTTTTTTTTTTTTGTTTCTCTTTTTTCATTTCTTCTTTACAAAAAACTTAAGTCTGCACGCCAAAGCTTTCCAGATTTACAACTATGTAAGTTGGAAATTTCATTTTTAGGTCTATTCTCCAAAATTGGTTAACAGCTAATAAATGGATCGTAACTATTCCATAAATATAATTTAGTACCATAAAATCCTCTAAAAAAAAAATATATATATTACATAAAAAAACATTATCAAAGTAAAATATAGTACATTCATTTCAATGAAAAAATAAATAAATCTGTCATTTTTGACCACCACGGGGGTCAAAGTGATCGTTAACCAAGAAATAAATTATGTCGTCATTTACTCGCCTTCATGAAGATGTTTCTTTCTGTGGAACACAAATGGAAATTGTTGAAGGATCTTCATTCTGCTCTTTTCAATACGAAAGCACTGTATGATAACAGTTCCAGCAGATTGTGTTATGATAATGTGATGCTGATTTCTGTCCTTTTTGGAGTCTGTCAAATTGAAAAGAGCAGGAAAAGATGGTTTTAAAATGACATGAGGGTGAGTAAATATTATCAGATTTGTTTAGTTCACTTGAGTATCTTAGCTCTTTATCTACAGCGTGTTTTGAAGACTAACTCGACTGGTCAGCCTGCTTGTGTTAAGCTTGTTTTGGTTCATAATGAAGTGGTTTAACCCAATAAAACAATCTCCTGACGGTTGTATTTGAAGCGTTTGTTAGGTTCCTAAGCAGATTACTTCTCTTGAGTTTGTGTGTGTGAGAATGATAGTTTTTAGTTATTATAGTTTTATTGTTTTGTTGAAGCTAGGGATGTTCATTTTGGTTATTTTTCTTAAACGACTCTCGTTAACCGCTTGTTAACCGTTAACCGACAAGATTATTTTAAATTAGAATTGAATTAAATTTTGATAAATTACTGAAAAAATAAATAATTTAATTACTTTTTAAAACGTTTAACTGATTGTATTAATCGGTTAAAATTCTTACCGTCGGTTAAACGGTTAAACGGTTAAAATGAACATCCCTAGTTCAGTCATCTTGTGTGCTTCACATCATGGCACTGATGATTATTCTGCATGATCACTCATTTTGTGCTTTATGAGAGACATTTCACTCCACCAACCGCTGACACAATTAACTAGTTTAACTAAGCCCTTTCTCTGATGTTTATCTGTTGTGTTTGTAGGTGTCAGAGGAGGTTAAAGCCGAACCTGAAGATGTTCCAGTAAAGCCGGATCACGTGGCTGATGGTGTGGAGGTTAGACATTACTGTTTATTACATCATACACGCTTGTGTTTACTGCTCGTTTAAGGCTGTTCATTACAACCTTACAGTTACATTACAGTTCGTTTAAGTTAAGTTGTAAATTACCCTAATAAAGAAACAAATATACAAACTTGCCATTAAAAACAAAACTGAACTATTTTAACGGCTGCAACAGTAAGCTGTGTGAAAACAGAAAAAACAAACAAACAAAAACGGGCTCAACAATATATTTTGCTTAAAATATTATAAATGTATTTTCTATACAAATATATATATATATATAAATGAAAAATCTTATTCTCATTACTATAATCAGATATTATTATTAATAAATTATAATTTATTTTTATAGTAATTATTTAATTGTGTGTGTGTGTGTATATAATTTAAATTGTTTGTAATATAATTTAATTTCATGGTAGTTTTGCTGCCTTTATTTGCTCAAGTTAAAAAAATCTATATATAATTATATTATTATTATTAAAGTAATGAGAATCACTATTGAGAATAAGAATTACAGGCATACTCAAAAAGAGAAGAAACCCTAGAACAAAAACATCTTATTGGTGCTCATATGATTTTTTCTTTTTTGGTGTTTTGAGGTGTAATATAACCTGAACATGTGTTCATGAGATTCACCCTAAATGTACTGAATTCAAACCTGACTGGAAGTGGTTCTGATGGGAAAAATGAGACCGGTTTAATCAAACATGGTGTTGTGAAGCTCAGAGCTTATTTACCGCGGTGCCAGAGGATCGTGGGAACTTCTGCAGGAATCCAGCTCTTGATATAATCTGGAAACCCCTCGACTCTGTCCTTCACAGTAAACACGTTTCCCACCGCGTGCTTTATGAAGCTCTCTGCGTCCTCACTGAGCAGCGTCTGCAAACTCGAAGGGAGTTTCAGAGGAGATTCCCGTCTGTCTGTGAGATGCTCTTCAGGATCGGTTTAATCTGTCTGGGAAACGTCTCAGAGATTAATACGATGAAATCTAACATAACACGTATCTCTCTGTCGCTGTGAGAGCGTAGGATCTGCAGCTCCATCACTGTAAATCCTTTATCTCGTTCTTAAAGAACGTCTGCTGCTGGTTTGTGATCGTCAGTATTTGTGATGTTTTTATAAATGATCCAATAGAGGCTGACCTTCAGTAAATTTCAAGCTTGAAAATAGCAGCTGTGAGAAGCTGAATTATTACGGGTTTGGAACGACATGAGGGTGAGTAAGTAGTGACAGAATTTTCATTTTTGGGTGAACTAACCCTTTAACTTTGGGCTTACACTTGTGACCCTGATCATTAAAACTGACTTTGTTTTCCTCTTTTTTTTTAATGAAATGAATCAGGGTTATTATTGTTAACTAAAACTGAAACCTTCAATATTTTTATCACTGATCTGACAAAATATCCCAAAACCTCCTTTTAGGGACATCCTCATTTGAAAAAAAAAAAATGCATAAAAATAAAGTAAAGTTTTGTTGCTGATTTGTTAGTATAAAAAAATGGTGCATTTTTCGTATTTCCCGTTCATTTCCTGTTGGCAGTCATGTTTGACCGCTAGAAACACAAGTGTGACTTTGTTTTTAAGACCCTTTCGCCTTTTTAAATTGTTCATGATTTATTTGTTCACATAGCCAGTGTGACAAAAGTCACCAAGTTTAACACCGGTAAACAAAGGTAATTTAAGTGTTGATGTTGTGTTGACACGGGCAGGTGGTTTTGCTCTGTGATGACTCTGTGACAGTGACACTGAAGTGTCAATATTTTTATCACTGTGTTTTTTTTTTCAGCTAGTAGCCAAGGTAACATTTCCCATTTTAGTTTGGTTCAAGTTAGTTCAAAAGTAGAAACTAAAATTTAATAGAGACTATATAGATATTAATAGAACAAATAAAAAAGACAAAAACACACAACATAATTACTAAAACTAACTAAAATTAAATTAAAAACAGAAATTATAAAATAAAATGAAATTCAGAGTATTCATAAAAACTATAATAGCATAGAATTGTATGTAAATCTATGAATGTACTGAAATCTACGATATTTTAGGTCAATATTTTTTCTGTAATATTTTGTATTTAAAGCAGATTTCATAATACTAAACTAAAAATACTAGTAATATTCACCTCTAAGATATGCACAATTAATTTCTATATAAAATAAAAACATTTTTAAAAACACGTTATACTATTTTTGCAGCAAGTTAACAATAGAGCAAATTTTTTTCAGACATTTTAATAGGTTATGTATTTGATTATATATTTAGACATTATCAAAGACTACTTTTTGTGAACGTTTAGATTTGTTATTTGTTTGTTTTTTTATTGAACTGTTATTTTGAAGTGCAAATTTGCAATATATTTATATATATAT